TGTGCTGTTCATTGTTATGGCCAAGTCTAATGTGATTCATTCCCTGTTCTGACTTTCACTGGTTAGTGCTATTATCTAGCCCTGTCAGGTGTAAGGATAAAGTCTTCCATATTCTTTGAATCACCCCTCAAAATTGCCCGGATAGCCCAAGTGACAAAGGGGGATTGAGGAAACTCTTGTGAGTCAAATTATGGGGAAAATCTGACTCCACATGGACTTCCATTCGGTTTGTGGTGTTTCTTCCGTAGGCTCAGCTCACAATGAGGTCAGGAGTTCCAGGAGCTGAAGCAGCGTGGGAGCATGGATCCAACGTTGACTCATAACGAAAGGAAGAAATCTACACCAAGGCCTGGATGAGATGATTTGGTTGTGAGTGATTGGGATGTGACTGCTGATCACAGAGGAAAAGGGCAACCAAGGTGTTAAGTCTTGTCTCACTGACTGCCTGCTCTACCAAGATGAGGTCTGATTGAAATCGTGCTGACACATCATGCATAAGCCATAGCCAGTTTTCAGAAAGAAAGTCTAACTACAAAGAAAAAAGAAAGTTATCAGCCCCTTTATTTCAGCAATTGGTCACACCTTGTCTCCTGGTGGCTTTTAAAAACTTTTAAAGAATATCTTGGTGGTGAATTATTCTGCAGGCTCAGTATTGGCTGAGCCAACAAAGTGTGAAACCTCTGCTTTGCATGTGCAACACAAGGTGTTTTACAAGAAGAAAAGACAGAAAAATTTCTTTGCTTGCAAAGCTAACAGGAAAAGATCCTAAGAGGATATGTGATTGCAGAAACAATATTCAGAACCAAAGAAATCATATACTCAAAGATGAAAATCGAATAGATTTTTCCATCCTGGGATGCATATCATTTGTAGGCAGTAGAGAAAAATGAAAACATGGGTTCTTCACTAAAATATTGTTAGGAATTTCAAGAGGGTGACAACATGTGAGTCCAAGTTCAAAATTCTGATAGTCTGCATAGACTGCCTGCCCAAGGAGTTGAACTTAGCGACAATATGCCTAGCCAAGAATTTCAAAGCCTCTATGTTCAGCTTTATTCTTTTTTTAAAATAGACTCAAGTGCGACGATTGCCACTCAAATTCTGCAGAAAAATTCCATAAGCTATAGCCTGACAAGTTTTATCATTTGAATTCACACTTTTTCTTTGCCTTTGAAAAATAATTATTTATTTATTTGAAAGGCAGAGCTAGAAAGAGGGACAGAGAGGCAGAAGAAGAGAGAGGAAAAAAGAGATCTTCTCTCAGCTGGTTCATTTCCCAATTGGGCACAGTGGCTGGGGCTGGGCGAGGCTGAAGCCAGGAGCATGAAACTCTAGCCAGCTCTCCCAGGTGGGTGCAGGGGCCCAAGCATTTGGGCCATCTTCCTTCGCTTTCCCAGGGACACATCAGGGAGTTGAATCAGAAGTGGAGCTGCTGGGACTCGAAGTGGAGCTTATATGTGGCTCCAGTGTCATAGGTGAGAGCCCCACTTGGTGCACCATGATACTGGGGTTCTTGAATTCATATTTCTAATGCTGTTAGAGGTATCTATAACTATTTGATCAGTATTAGTTATTTGGAGGAATGGATTGATTTAAGCAAATATCTTGGTTTTAGACTCAGGTATGTATTAACCAGTTGAATGAATTTAAGTACATGACCATATTTCTGGGTTTTTGTAAATCTGCGAAGTGAGAATATAGACTATGGATAATCCTTAAAATTGCATAATTCTGCCATCACAAGTTACTGGAGCTTGGAACTAGCAACATAGTCTCTAATTTAAAAAATTTGTTCCTGTCATACCTATAATGCATATCTGCAGTTTTACATGGTCATTATCAACTTACAAATGTCCAGTCTCCTAAAGTAGGTCCCACTATTCTAAATTCTTCAATTCCCACATCAGTGGATAAATGAAGCAATGGATAGAACTAATTTGTATTACTTCCCAAAGAGTTTGAAATATTTCTTTCAGTGACTCAAAATGTGGCCGTTGGTTTTCTGGGAGTTATTGATTACTTCAATACTAGCCCAGTGTCACCCTGTCTGCATGTTCTGGACTGTGCGCTTCCTTGAGGACAGTTAAAGTAGAGCTTTGTGGGCCCAGCACGATGGCCTAGTGGCTAAAGTCCTCACCTTGAACGTGTTGGAATCCCATATGGGTGCCGGTTCTAATCCCGGCAGCCCTGTTTCACATCCTGTTTCCTGCTTGTAGCCTGGAAGAGCAGTCAAGGACGGCCCAAAGCCTTGGGACCCTGCACCTGTGTGGGAGACCTGGAAGAGGTTCTTGGCTCCTGGCTTCAGATCTGCGCAGCTCCGACTGTTGCGCTCACTTGGGGAGTGAATAAGCAGATGGAAGATCTTCCTCTCTGTTCTCCTCCTCTCTATATATCTTACTTTGTAGTAAAAATAAAAGAAAAAAAAATTTTAAGTAGAGCTTTGTGTGCAGAAATTAGATGTTCACACTCCTGACTTCTTTTCTAAAAATCCTTTTCCTCACACAAAGTGAACCAATTTCAGTGTTAGGGGCGCAGTGGTGCCTCTCCCTCTACCCTCCCCTCTGCTTGTGTTTCCCACACACCTTCATTTCCTCCTCCCCTCCTTCCTTCTTTCCCCCCTTCCCCCAAATTTTCGATGGCATATTTTCCATTGACTTCTCAATCACAGGCCTAGTTCTCAATTAATAATGAATTCAACGTTAGAAAGTAGAACATAAAACTCCCTGTTCCTTAAGATTATCGATAAAGCTGCAACCAATAATCAATTCTCAGATTGTCAGTCTCGCTCCTCTAGATTACATTTTGTTGCTTTTAAGAGGATTTTTCCCCCAGAGGTATATTATAAACTTCTTCATTATTTGAGAAGACAACTTCTTAAGGAATATTTTGGCCTTTTCATTCACATAAAATAATCCACGGCATTGCTGCAGTTGGCAGGCACTGGAGCACCACGTTTCTAACTTTAGTCACTCTATTTAATGAAAAACTCTTATTCCACAGGTTTAACCTGATGGCAATAAGGTCAGAACATGAGGATGAGTAATTCAAAGTAGACCTTTAAGCTAGCTGTAAGTCTGCATTTATCCAGTACTGTCTACAAACACATCTCCATGAAACAATGTGATAGGAATGAAAAGTTTGTCCAAGAAGCAAAGAGACGATTTCTGATTTTAATTCAGTCAAACATGGAAGAAGATGCAGGAATAGGTAATATGAAATTGATCATCAGGGCTCCAGAAATCTATGCAGAGTATCAGACCAGTAGCAAGACTTTAGAGATTAATTTGCAATCAGATGCTTTTGGGGGACTTTGTGGAGAGATGACTGTTAGCCTGAAATGGATGAGAACCTTTCTGACAGCAAAGAAACTATAGGGACAAGGTTGTTTACTAACTTTTTTAGGAATACAAGTCATCCAGAATTCCTGAATAACAGGTGAGTTTCATTGAGTGATTATAATATTAAAGGCAAAATCCTTAGCACATCTAATTTGATTTTTCAAATGAAATCTGAAAGGAGATACTGCTAATAAGCCCGTTTTAGAGATAACAGTCCTAGATAAGATACTTAAAGTCACATATCAAATAATAGGGGAGCTGGGATTCAGGCATGTACTTGTAACTGTGATGTAGTTTTACATACATGGTGCAGGTAAAAGCACAGGTGTGTCGTAACTATAGAATAGGTCATCTTTGGGTCTGTGCTGAAGTGTTGTACTTCATAATAAATTAACAAGGAGAGAGAAAGAATCCCATTGTTTTTAGTATTCTCATGAATTACCTAGTTGTATATAGTTCAACACAACAAATTTTAGCCATATGTGATTATGGAGTATTTGAAACCTGAGTAGTTCAAATTGAGAGACACAATAGGTACAAGGTGCACACCAGATTTCAAGGGTTTAGTATGATAAAATTGTTAAAATAATCTGTTAAAAATATGTCCTGAGAGGGCCAATGATCCGGGGTAGCGCATTGAAACCACTGCCCACAGTGCCTGCACTGCATATGGGCTCCACTTCTAACCTAGCTTCCTGCTAATATGTGTGAGAAAGTAGACGAGGGCAACCCAAGTGCTCAGGTCTCTGCACCCATGTGGAAGCTTTGGATCAAACTCCAGGATCCTGGCTTGTCCTGGTACAGAACTGGCCATTGAGGCCACTTAAGGAGTGAACCAGTGGATAGAAGATCTCTACCTTTCTTTCTCTCCCTCTTTCTGTAACTCTACATTTCAAATAAAAAATACATATAAAAAATAATGTGCTTTGATAGATATAGAAATATTTTGGCTAAATTGCATCAAGTTTAATATTTTAAAAATTACTTTGTGTCATTTTTTACATTTATTGATGGGACTGCCAGAAAATTTAATTTCACTTATGTAGATTGCATTAACTTTCTGTTGGGCAGTGTTTGCCTAGAACAATTTGGGGTAGATATTTTACTAACCAAGTCTGATGAAGGACTTCCTTACCACATTGCTCTTTTAACCACAGTCTTTCCTTGCTTTCTGGTCATTTGCAAGAAAAACTTGAAAATGCTCCCCCTTTGTCAAAGTTTGAGAGGCCCTAGAATTTCCTTTTTCACTTCTTCCCAACCACAAACAAATGATCAATGTGCTCTGTGGATGAGGAGTCAACATTTCACAAGGGCAAAATGGGGAGTGTAAAAAAATTTCCAGCCCCTGAATGGTGTGAAGTAAAAGTGCTTTCAAAGGATCCCACAATAATGGCACAGGTGGGCATAATGGGTCTGGCTCATCGTCAGAGATCGCAAGAAGTTGAAAGGAAACTCTAACGACAACACCAAAATGCCACAAAACCATAGTTATTAATACAAACTAACTAGCAATCCTGCCTATCTGTCACCATCTCATCTTAAAAAACTTGTGAAAATACGTAATCCTGATGAGACTTCAATCAGGTATAAATACCAGCAACCAAAGGAGGTGCGGTACAGTGTTCTGAGCATCTGCCGATCAGCCATTAGAGAAGAGGGGCCAGCCAAGTCTCCTGAGCCTGATCAACTTCATATACTGCCACTAATTTCAACTTTTTCAGCCTAACCCTCTCTGAAGCAATGAATTACACAAGTTACTTCTTGGCTTTTCAACTCTGCATCATTTTGGGTTCTTCAGGCTGTTACTGTCAGGACATACTTTCCAAAGAAGCACATCAGATAAAGGAATATTTTGTGAGTATGACCTTTTAACAATACTTGCTTGTGGTTGAAAATGATTGAATGTTAACTTGCAGTTGGATAAGACAGGTTGTCATCTCCACTTCACAGTCATTTTGAGAAGACTTGGTGTTATTTTACTAAGTATTGGTTGGATGGATTTTTTTTTTTTTACTAAATAATTTAGACACTACTTCGACTTCCTGCTCAATGCACTGTATTTACAGAGCACACATGAATCTTCCAGAAGATGGGCATCAAATGAATATAAAGCATATTGATATCTCTGTGATGAGAAATTGTTCAGTTCTGATAAGCCAAGTAATATGTACATCGACAAAATGGTTGGCTTTCAGTGTTTGATTTCGTAACCTACTATGAAGATGGCAGTAAAATGCTGAGATTAGCATTTCAAACAATAAAAGAAAGATAACTTATAAACTGAAGTAAAAGAAGATGAGGTCCTTAAACTATAGGCGTATAAAAATAATTTATAAGTGCTTTTGCCCAAGGAATGACTACAGAATTCTACAGATGCGTTTGTTTTACTGGGGAATTATTCCTGAACTCAGTCACTTGCTGAGATTTTCATTCTGGCTTGGAATTTTTTTTTAAATTTCTGTTAAAGCTTTATCTATGGTTAATGAAAATAATTTTTTGTGTTGTAAATATTTTATTATGCATCCCAAAACTGGCTAGCATCCAAGAAAGTTCTAGCATTCACAGTCTATGTTATTCTTGCAGTATAAATCAAATCTCATATATATATATATATGTATACGAAGCTATTGTTTAAAGCCCATTCAACAATACATCATAGATGTGAACAGGTGGATGACACAGAGACTTACGCCACAAGAGGGCAGTATTCTATAGCTACAGTGGAATGGCTTTTTTTTTTTTTTTAACTTCCTGTAGTTGGAGACTTTTAAAGTTCCATCAGGCTTGTTGAACATGTGTGTGACATTGCAGTGTAAGAATTATGCTCGTTAGTAAGAAAGCTAAGAGAACTTATAGTCTGACTACATCTAACCCTCAACTTCTGAGAATAGTTATTGGTAGAACTGAACAGAATGATTGAAAAGAAAATTAATGAATATTATCGGCATCTGAGTTCCATGGAACATTGAAGTACATTTTAGAACAATTTATGAAATATCTATAAATCAACTTTTCCTTCTATTTTTAGAAAGCAAATACTTCAGATGTGGCAACTGGTAGACCACTTTTCTTGAATATTTTGAGAAACTGGAAAGAGGTAAGTTGCACATGCCCACCTATCTGATTTCCCTGTTGTTTATCTTGCGATGAGCAAATTCACATCATTCTCTTCCTGTTTTTTTTTTTCCCCCAAGGAGAGTGACCTCAAAATAATTCAGAGCCAACTTGTCTCCTTCTACTTCAAACTCTTTGACAACTTGAAAGAGCATGAGGTCATCAGAGAGAGCATGGAATCCATCAAGGAAGACATTTTTGTGAAGTTCTTCAATAGCAGCCTCACTAAGCTGCAAGACTTCCAAAATCTGACTCAAATTTCGGTAAGGACATTTTAATTCTCTCATTAGTTTCAGTGAGAAATTGCATAGGCTGTTGCTCAGTATTCAATTCCCAGAAAGTAAAAATCATCTGACAGTTGCTAGAGTCATGTAAGTTAGCCCATTCCACTCTTCCTAATTTTGTTAGTGCCTTGGGTGATTGTACGAAGCCAGTATGGGAATAATTTAAGTGTATCATTTTAAAACACTTCATGCTATCATTAAAATGATTACACTAAGACAGGTGAATGGACAAATCGAGTCAAGAGGAAGTAGGCGGGAAGGGATACGGAGAAGCAATGCTCTCATTGCCTCTAGTCTGTGTGATGGAAATTTTGATGGGAGGCTATATGTCTTAGTGGAAAGAGCAGAGCATGGGTAAGATTTTTCTCCTCCCATCTCAGTGGCCAAGGAACTGTGATCTGAGATGAATCATGCATCTGTCTGGGGCTCTTAAAAAGAGCCTGTGGAACTCACCACCCGATTCTCTGGTCTCCTTTCTTGTGCAGTGTCATGGATAGAAAATGAGAACGAGAGAGGAGAGCAGCCTGCGAGGCAGTGCCAGGAGTGTTCCACTGCCAGTTTCTTGTTAGCTTCTCAGACATTGCAGTCCAGTTGGAAGTGAGAATGCTGGCTGTTTGCTTGATTTCAGGATAAAGAGGTAGATTGCTCTTAGGAAAAAACTGATTTATCAGCTTCCATGTACTAGGCTATCTCAGCTAGTGAAATATTCAGCTTTCTCATCTTTATTACATGAAATTGCCTCAAGGGTTTGGCAAAAATTATGGCTTTTAGAAGCTTAAAGATATATTTAAAACATAAAGAAAACCACCTTTCCCCCATATTTCCTCTGGGAGACAAGATGTCCTTTTTCCTTTGGATTTGACTTTGATATCAATGGGAGTGAACACGAGGTCAGGAATTTTGTTAGTTCTGGAGCTCTTGGGATTTGTGTTCAGCCTTTATTGTATTTTGGTCTCCTCTTAGTTGGCTCCTGTGAGTCCCCAGGCACTGAAAGAGGGGTGGCAGAAGACATCCTTTGGTCAGAGGCTGCAGACAGGGGAAGTGCTTGTTCCTAGCTCTGTGCTTCTCCTGGCATGCTATTCAGTGTCAGACATGCATCTTGGTGATGCTTTTCTGGAAGATAACATTTGCCATTTGCAAACCCACAGTTGATGGAAGCTTCTACTCTGCTGTGATTATCCCTTGAAACACTAAAATTGTCTTGTCTCCATCTTTTTGGAATCTTCAGGTCTCCTGATTCAAGAAGGGCAATCTTGAATGAACTCTTAATTGTTGTTTGCTTTTTTTTCATAATTGCTAATCTATTTTAGGCATGTTATACAATTTAATAATTAGTCTTGGAGCTTAGAATCTCTCTGGTCATCCTCAAAAATAATACAAAGTGGCCATTAGTTTTCCAGTACTAGAAATGAATATAGTTGCAAAGCTAACATATCAGGAAATGATTCTCATTTTATTAAGCATGAAATTGCCTAAACGTCTTTATTGGTTAAAATGAAGAAATAAACTTAATTCAAGTTTGCTGGCATAGAAGATAGAGTACAGAAAAGTTGTAACAATTTGTGATTTTAAGTTTACATTTATTTGAATTCCATTGTAGAAATAAGGCAAGTGCTTTGATCTAGGGGAAATTAAAAAGTACAAGTGTTGTTCTTTATAATGTAATTAACCTTTACCTGTGCCTGGGTGTGTTATCATAGTCACCTAGGGAACGCTGGATACTCAGTGGGATGGGACTTTTCCATGCACCTGGCTCCTGCTCTCTTAGTCATTGAATAGGTCTTTAGGTTAGGAGGATATTAACTCATTTGATACAGACAGCAGTGACTTGTTGAAACATAAGGAAATAGAATTGGCGACTTAGAGTTCATCCAATCAATTGCTTCACTTTTTAGGTTAGAAAAACAAAAAAGGTTCAATGATGTTAAGTGATTGGTTCAGGTCAAAAACATTCTATGCAAGAAGTACAAACTTATTTTTACCCTTACTCCATTTCAGGACTCTTTTCACCACATACTTTTGAAAAGTCTGTAGCAACATGTTTAAGAATAAGTAATAACCCTCATCATATGTAGCACAACCAGCCATTTAAATTTTAGCCCTAAGTATTGAAAAAAATGAATAGTAGTGAAAGATGACTTCTTAAAAGGGATACTTGTTTCTACTGATCATAACTTTACCAGCAGAATGTCCTGATAGCTTTTTTGTTTTCTTTCCCAAATAGGTAGATGACCAACAGGTCCAGCGCAAGGCAATAAGTGAACTCAACAATGTTGTGAATTTCCTGTTTTCAAAACCTAACACCAAAAAACGAAAAAGGAGTCAAAGTGGAGTGTTTCGAGGCCGGCGAGCATCCAAATACTGATCAACCTACCTGCAATATTTGAATTTTTAATCTAAACCTATTTATTAATATTTAACATTATTTATATGGAAATACACTTTAAACTCATTGATTGAAAGTATTTATAATAGCAACTTTTATGTAATGCAAATGATTATCTATTAATATATACCTTATTTATAATTCCTGAATCTTGTAACTGTTTCATTTGACCCTCTTTTTTCTGATTAGGCAATACTATGTGATTAGAAGGCTTTTCATCTGGGGCCAGACAGGCAGCTTAGATTATTCAGCAAGATCTTGTATGCTGTGTGCTTTTTAACTTGATGATACAATGAACACTTGTGCATAGAATGATACTATCCAGTTTCTGACTGTTTGAGAACGTGTCTGCATTCTGAGCCACTGCTTTAATAGCATGTCAGACACCACTTGAACTTACCAGGTGATGTGACCTTGTGCCTTAATAAAAAATAGCATCTCAGGAAGTTTCATTCCAGATGTGTCTGAATATTATTGACAACTGCGACTCCCCCTAAATGGAAAGTAGTGCACTTGTTTAGTTTATCAATATCTAATATCAAATATATGTGTAAATAAAGCAGAATTTACAGCTATGTATGTGATGTCTGACTTTTGTTTAAGTGACAGCTGGGATGAATGAATTGTCTGCAAATGCATTAGGAATTAAGTTATGTGTGTGTTTTTTTAAGATCTATTGTACTTGAAATTGAGAAAGAGAAAGAGAGAGAAAGAAAACTCTCTTATCTCCTGGTTCACTCCCCAGTTGGTGCAAAGATGAGAGCCGCGCCAGTTTTAATCTGGGAACCAATAGTTTCTTCCAGATCTCTCATGTGGGTGTATGAGTCCAAGGCCTTGGGCCATGCCATGCTGATTTCCCAGGCTATCAGCATGAATAGAGGGGAGCCGCAGGACTAGAACTGACTCCACAGGCAGCAGATTAACCTGAAACACTATTGCGCTGACCCTGGAAGAAATTCATTTTTAGCCATGCAAATCTAGAATAACATAAATACAGTGATTCTCCCAACAGGTAATTTGGTGACTTTCATTATTCCACTTGGCAGCTGTTTTATTTAAACTTCTCAAAATACAAATTTAATTATGTCACCATTCAATTTAAAGTTTTTGCTCTCTAAAGTAGTCCAAATTGCCAAACATGGCACACAGAGATTTATTTTTTACTATATCCTCCTTTAGTTCCTCACTCAATCCCTCACCGTGGTAGCCTCTTGTTGCATCTCTCCCACTCAGTCCACCAGAGCAAACACCACTGAGCATGGGGCAATGAGTATAAATTCTAGAGAAAGAAAGAGAGGAGAGTGGATTGGAATCCAGGGTATGCCATTAGAAGCAGTGTGCTGTGTAGTGATTTTGTTAGTATTATGTAAGTTTTTAAGCTTCAATGTTCCTTTTCTGAAAAATTAATAAAAATGGGGCTTTCCTTCTGATGATGTGATGATGGTTTATTCTTTCACTCAGCAAACATTTATTGGTAAAACTATGTGCTTAGATCAACAAAACAGTGAAAAAAATCTCTGCCCTTGGGGAGTTTGAAATTGACCAAGGAGGAAATAAACAATAAATGAAAATATATACTACTAAGCAAATTTCATGGCATGTTAGAAAGCGATTGATATCACGAAAAAGTAAAAGTAGAGCAGGATGAAAGACTTGGAATATGTGCACTTGGTGGCCCACGTGGACTAAAAGTTTAAAAGCAATGTTTAAGTAGTAGGAAGCACATGCAGGAGTGGAGACGGCAGTGGAGTAGTACGGAAGAATCAGTAAGTTCCTATATCTGTATGGTAATATATGTGACATCTTTTCCACCTCAAATATATAAATATATATTTTAAAATGGCTTCATTGAAGAGATGCCATTTGAAGAGGTAATGTAGGGAACATAGTATTAGGCTTTTAGGTTACGTGAATATTCTTGAGAAGATTTTAAAGTAGAGTCATCAAAGAATAAGATCAACATGGTGTACTCAAAAGATCAAAGAGAAAAGTAAGTCACCATGCTAGGAAGATGCAGGGGAAGCCAAGTTCTTCAGAAGAGAGCCAGTATGCTTCTAAATTGAAAAAAGTTGAGTGTATGAAGGATTTGACTAGCTCTGGGTGTGAATTCCAGAAGATTTAGTGAGGTAAACCAGGAGAAGAGGTCACCAGAAGGAGTGCAGTAGAAACGCACTGTGGTTTGGACTCAGAGGCACTGTAGAGCTTTCCAAAGAGGAATCAGGAATTTAGGGAACCCAGGTACTCCAACTTGGAAGGTAGGCATCTTAACTGTTAGGCTAAATATTACCTTTCACCCCAATATTTTTAACTAAATTTCATCTGAAAAGTTTCTTTTTCTCTATAAAGGAATATTCACAGACTCCGGGAATTAGGATGTGGACGCTTTTTGGAGTAGTGTCATTCTGTCTAGCAGAGGGGAGTAGCTTGTTGTGAGTAAGCACCACATCAGCAGTGGAGAGGTGTGCATGTGGGAGAATTGCCTGGAGTGCATTTCAGCTGGATAAGGAAGAAAGCCATGGGCTGGTGTGGTCTGGTGGAAAGAATCAGAAATAAATAGGAGTAGATCACTAGGAGAAGGTGAATGAAAGATCGATTAATCACAGGGAGATTGATTAAGCAAAATATATCAAAGATAAAGCTAACCTAACTTTTCATGGCTGGAGAAGGGAGGGACAGAATAGAAGTTAAGAAAATTAGAATAAACCCTCTGTTATGGACTTGGTATTGGATACACATGAAGCCATAGTTTTATTTTCTTTAAGATTTATTTATAGTTATCGGAAATTCAGATTTACAGAGAAAGATCTTTCAACCACTGGTTCACTCCCCAAGTGGCCACAAGAGCCAGAGCTGAGCTGATCCCAAGCCAGGAGCCAGGAGTTTGCTCTGGGTTTCCCACATGGATGCATAGTTCCAAGACCTTGGACCATGCTTGACTGCTTTCCCACACCACAAGCAGGAAGCTGGAAGGGAAGTGGAGTGGCTAGTGTACAAACCAGTGCCCATATAGGATCCTGGTGCATGAAAAGTTAGGACTTTAGCCACTAGGCTACCATGCTGGGCCTTAAGCTATGGTTTTCAACTTAAAAAGAATAGCTTCAGGGAGAACTAGATTAATTATGTGTTTGCGTATTTATTCTCTGTCCACTGAAAGGACTTTGGAATGGTATTAATAATGAGAATGCCTGCTGCTCAGGGCTTGATTTCTAAATACCACTCTCACTGGCCGAAAATGGGAAATTTTGAGCATCAAAGTAGATAGATTTGGTAATATGTCTTAACCTATTGAATAGAGTAGGAAAGGATAAAGACATCCAGATATAAATGAAGAAATTGAAAGTTTGATGAAAGGTGGAATAATTTTATAGTTGTAACTCATCTCCCTAAAAGATATTTTAAAAGAGTACACTGTACAGTGGATAAGCCTAGCAAAAATGGTCATAATGAAGTGAAAAAATTGACCATTAAAAACTATTTTAATGAAATTCAATATGCATATCAAGAAATTCACAGAAGGGTACCGATAGATGAAGGGTTTTCTTTGTCATAACGAGTCCTGAAATGAAGAACAAAGCACTAGTCCCCAAGAGTCCTTTCAAGTATACACCTTTGATAATAGGATCAGTGGAGATGGTGTGCCAACTGATAGCATGCAGGGGAAGGAACACAGAACGCCTTCTACATTATCCCCATGTAAGATGCACAACCCATTCCAAACACGGAAAAACATCACACAAATGCAACTGGAGAAACATCACGCACGGTAGGTACCTGGCCTGCAATCTTCTCGTCTCAACAAGGCCATGTACTTAAGTATGACTGAGGCGTGAGGAACAGTCCTTATTGAGATCAGTTACAGAGACTTGTTAGACGATGCAATGCAAGAGTCTGAACTGAATCCTTTGATAGTAGAAAGTATTTTTAGAACCGTTGGTGAAACTTCAATGAGGTCTGAAGATGAGATGAAAGCGATACATCAATGTTGGCTTCCTTATTCTGAAGTTAGTATCACAGTTATGCAGCAGATATCTTTGTGGGTAGAAATATGGAGGCAATAGGTCATCATGGCAGTGAGTTAGTTTTCAAAGCTTTAGGGACTACAAAGCTTTTAATCACTGTGAACTTATTTCAGAGTCTCTGGTGGCAGTATCTAAATTTGGGGTGTATTTCTAATCATAATGTATAGCTTGGATTTCTCCATTTTCAAAGCATGGTGAGGGCTGGTATTGTGGCACAGGAGGTTGTGTCACCCTTGCTACACTGGTATCTCATATCCAAGGGCTGGCTCAAATTCTGGTTGTAGTGCCTTCCGTCCAGCTTCCTGCAAATGCTCTTGGGGAAGCAATGGAGGATGGCTCAAGTGCTTGGCCCTGCCACCCATGTGAAAACCTGGATGGAGTCCCTGGTTCCTGACTTTGGCTTATCCCAACCTTGGCTGCTACAGAAGAAGGAATTTTTTTCTGGCCCCTCCTTCTCTTTGATGCTATACCCTTTAAATAAAGATATGAGTAGTTTTATTTTTTTAATGAAAAAGCAGGTTGAACTTTTGCAAAGCTGACTACATCTATACACCAATTCCTTTCCACACTTTTCCTAAAATGTGACTGTAAATCCTTCTGATGAGAAGAGGGAGCTATGTCTCTCCTCTCAACACCAGAAATGGGCTTGTGGATTTACTTACCAGTCAAGTACAATGAAAGTAAGGCCACGTGGCTTCCTGTCTAGGGTCAACTTCTACCTAACTATCTTTTTCTTGAAATTTGCCTTTGTAACCTGCAATCCTACTAAGATATTCAGGCTGCACAGGGAGGTGACAGGTGGACATTCTAGTCAACAACATCGGTGAGGCTTCTAGCCAATACCAGCAGCAGTCATCAAATGCGTGCACGAACATGTATTGTGATGATTCTAGTCCCAAGCTTTTGCATTTTCTGGCTGTAGCCTAAGATATCCAGCTTCTTGGGATTAAACCAAAATTAAGGTACAATTCCAATTTCAGCTCTGAAAATAAATGGAAGATGGAAATTGTTGCTATGATCCATAAAACAAGAAAATACTGGACAAACTGAAAATTGTTGTTTATTCTTGATTCCATCATAGAACGGAGTTTGGAGTCAAGATTTGCTTAGTTGAACCAGAGATCACTGCATTCATTGGCTGCTAAAAGCAATTGAATGTGGCTTAGGATGAACTAGCATGAGAATGAGAAATCTTCATGGGTTTAACTGTTGGGGTTCCACTAATATTTCATGAGGTTTATCTATAAGAGTCAGGACACAGTCTCATGGTGCAGATCTGAGACAAATTTCTCACAGCGCTGGAAGTGTGTGAAGGGTTCCTGTGGTGATAGTAGTCAATGTGCAAGAGCAAATCAAATGAACTATCAGGGAGACGAAGTTCTGAGAAAGAACCCAAAGTCTGTATTCTAAATCAAAAGTTCTATATGAGGGTGGATATATGACCCAGGGATTAGGTATTACACTACCTACAGGAGATTCTACATTCATATTTTGGCCTTGGGTCTGGTTCCAGGTCCCTACTAATG